CCAATTCCCCAGCACTGCTCTCTGGGGAAGTCACTCTTACAAACAAGTGCATTGCCAGATATGGACTACATGTCCTCAGTACTTTTGGTAAGACACAAGGAGGGAAATCAGTTGTCCCACCTGCATTTTACCTACCTGTCTTGGTCAGAAATACACATAAGAGCAGAAGATCACCTCTCCTTGTGTAGATGATAGTGCAGGATCCACTGAATTAGTTTAATTGATGTCAAATGCCAGGGAATCATGTATGCACAAGATGACACAAAACCGCTACCTCTTTTAAAAGCATCTGTGCAGAACAAAACACCCCCTTTGTATTTTCCACTGTTCTTCTAACAAGCAAGGTCTGTTGTGCCACATCAGACTCCCAACAGAGTCTGTGTTGGCATTAATTTACACTTCCAGCTTTTCTGCAGCCCTGTTATCACACTAGCAGGAACCTCAGCAGTTTTCAAAGAGCCAGAGGCACACTTGCTTCATGCTAGCTCACAATGCTGAAGTTTGGTTTAAAGATTTAGCACCAACCTACCAAAACAATTTATACTGCAGCCTGTCCTGGCCCAAAACATGGATTTCGGGCAGCACAGTGTTCAGGAAACACAAACTTCACAGAAGATGAGGACACCAGCTGCTCTGCACAGCTCTGTCCCCAGACACAAGCTGGGGCTTCCCTGCCCTATCTGCACTGTGATCCTCTCCATCTCCACTGAGCAGCCCCGACTGGCCCAGCCGCCGCATCTGGACAACGTTTCCGGCTGAAGGGTTGCTACACACTACCAAATAAGTAGATAAATGAAGCAGTGTTGCTCTAACAGTTACAAAGACTAAAAATACACTCACTGCAAGGAGGTAGCAGGGCTTCTAAAAGATTCACAGATTTACTTGTTAGGTAGGGTTTCTGGAGGCAAGGGAGAAAGTAGTAAAGACATTCCAGCTAACTTCTTTTTAAAAGCAGGCTGCTGCTTGCAACTGTTTCTAAGCAAACCAGTTGCAACCTTGTGGACTCAGCTGCCTTCAGACCCCGGCACATGTCAGGGGAGATCTGGATGTTTCCGTTTTCCTCTCCACCAGCTTTTTACTCCCTGTTCCTCAGCAACTGGTGGGGGTGTATGAGGGATGCAGTGAGCACACACTCATCTATAGAGCTATTACAGAGGGAGCCAGGTTGGAGGCACCAACATAGTGCCTGGTCTCCATTTCTCAGGGCAGGTCCTGCACCAGGGCCAGGCACATTGCAGACCACACAAGGACATGTGGATAAGCCACAGGCTGTCAGCAAGGAGAAAGGGCCTTTTCCCATGCCCAAATTGTTGCAACACTGGTGCCAGGGGCTATCGTAGGGGGATATACACAGCACGAGGAGAAAGTAAGAAAACGGGAGGAAACGAGTTCTGTGGCCCCCTAAGTAAATAACGGAGTCACTGGCTGTGGCTGAGGAGAACAACGTGCCCTCAGCCCATACCATGGAAAAGGCCAGGGCCTGCAGATCAAGAGATCAGTAGCCAACGGAGAGGGCCCAGTCTGGGTTGACTAATTGCTCTTGCTGGTTTGAAGAAAAAGCCAACGGCCCTCTCTAGAGGAGCAGATCAGCAGCACTGATCCTTGCAGGCACATAATTTAAAGCTCCTGCAGGTAGAGTATCTCTTGCAAACACCAAGGCATTTGCACTGGCTGTGCACATGCTTGCTGTCAGAGCTATGGCCATATTTGAAATCTAACCAGCTGAGGCAACGTTTACATGAAGAATTGAAATAAAAAGGAGAAAACAAAGGCAAGGCACAGTTTTGCTACAGAGAAAGTTCTCTTGGGAATGAAAGAAAGGAAAGAGGCTGGAGAGAGAGCAACTCCGAGAGAACCACCCATGGCTTCTTGGGAAGCACAGAACTTGTAAACAAACTCCCCACACGGTCTGCAAGACGAGACATACCCACTTACAAGACAAATAGCTGTGCACAGGAGACCAGCCTAAAAAGGCATTCGTTCTACTGGAGGCTTACTTCAAGAGCCAGAGCTGGAGGATTTCTTCCTCTGAGTGAGGCAGCACAGGACTAAGAGGAATGGGCACCTTCCCTTCTGTGCCCAACGAGGAGGTAGCAGGAGCACTTGGGTACAACTTGCCACTGCAGCAGCTCTGCTCTCTTGGTCCATCCAGGCGTGCTCAACTCTCACAGTTTCAGCCAATGTGTGCTGAAGTGAGACTTGACTTTTTACAGCTCCTGACCCCATTTGTCACTTTTCTTTCTTCTGATATTTATATATCCTCTGTGGTTAACACCAACACAAGAACACTTCAAGGTTTCCTTCAACAGCACTGACTTCAACTTTAAGTGCTCTTTTACACCTTGGTCCTCTACAAGCACCACAGATTCCCTGGCAGGCTTCCTCTGAAAAAAATGTTTTTATTACTTTTCATGCCTTAAACAAGTTGTTCCTCAGTATCACTTTTGGCTTGACTTCTTATGCTTTGATATTAAGCCTCCCAGACATGGTGCTCCATTTCTAATTCCCTCATTTGGCTATTTCTAATTCCTTCTCATTGTTTTAAGAGAGCTCTTATTTCTAAGAACCTACTTTAATGTATTATTTAAGCTTGCCGGATTTTCTAAGGTCCTTTTAACGGTCCTTTGGCATGGAGGCTTTACTCTTAATCAATCTCCATACCATTTGCCAGCACTTTATCCTATGGTGTTTGCTTTGCATGTTTTCCCATCCTTACGCAGCCCTTAACCTTTGAAGTTGACTTGCAGTATGTACTTCAGCATTTTGACTTGTAGGCAGTTACTGATAAAATTAACTGAATTATTTGACTTCTTACTCTTCAATAGGCAGCCATCACTTTTTTACTGGCGTGGACTTTCTCTATCACCCACTATCACTTGTAGCCTAATGTTGAAGTGTCTCACTGATTTAAGAGTGAAGGCTGGTGAGAGCCTGTACTCACTTACAGTTCAAATGCCTTTATAGGTTGGATGGTATCCAGATAGTGAGCTGAAATTTCCACCTGTCTCACTTGGATACATAAAATTACCTCATTTATTTAGAAACTGTGATCAGCCCTTGCTCGAAGAAGAACATTTTTCACGCAACCTCCGTCTAAGTTTTTGTCTGCATGGGGCAACTGCTTTCCTCCATGTGAGCTTCCCTGATGCAATACATTTGCCAGTTAATTAAAACAAATAAATCACTCACATACGCTGCAGAATGCCTATGTGAATGAGGCACGCTAATAAAAACAAGTCACTTTCAAAGGCCTCTGCCTCCCAGCTACAGCAAGAGGAGATTTACGGCTTCAAGATAGGAACGCTGCCTTGAACCAGAGATGCCTCTTTTGCACAGCAAGGGGCAGCTCAGACTGCTGATCATTTCTCCATCCACAGCCACCCAGAGCGTACTGCTTGCTGTGCAGGCACATGCCACCACCTCTTCACATGGACTGCTGCGGAACAAGGGACAGGACAGAGGCAGATGGTGGAACCACGTGCCGGGGGATGACTGAAATTGAAAATCTCAGGATGTATTTTTCAAATGCTTTCCCACAGCAACCCTGCTGTCCGACTGCTACAGAGACTCAGCTGGGAGAAGGCACAGGTAAGGTGTGTTCTATGGAGTGGGTGAGGAAGAGTCCCTGCATGGAAAGCTGGGCTTGGGAGTGGAGAGCAGGGCAGCATCATGCCAGCCCCGCTGGCTGCAGTCTCCTTAGAGACTGCAATCCAAACACAGAAAAAGACCGTCTTGGACTGCTGAGCTTTTCCTAATCTCTAGGTTTGCTCCAGTGATGTCCTCAAGACAGAACTCATAAACGTGAACTCCTCTACCACTTCTTTGCAGTTTTTTTTCTTGATGTTTTTACAGGGTGAGCTCATTATGGATAATTATGATTCAGATCACAGCAGAAATAAAGAGCTACCAGTAATCAAAGCTGGCCTACGTATCACAAACATAAAAGTGTATTTGCCACGTCTAATTTAACACTAAGAGGAATTATGTAATCTTAAATTTACAACACTTGAAAACGTATCAAAGCAGATCAGCTGGACTGAAGGCTAGAATTACGACGTGCTGCACAAACACAGTTTGGTGCAGCTGAGATGGCGAACACCACCTCACCTCAGGACTGAAACGTTCTCTTTGCTTTGCAGTCTGCTCTGCAGCCTGGTGGGAGAGCGTACCCACATGGCAGGGTCAGCTCCAGGAGCGATGGACATCGAGAGGGCAGGCTCTGTGCAGTGAGACACAGGCACTGGGTTCTGGCACGCAGCATCCACACTGGCAGCTAGAGTCATGGGTTTCCTTTTTCTTCTACATTGGGGATTTTATATAGCTTGTCTTTCATATGGAAAAACAATCTGGTGTAATAACTCTACACAGGCATTTGACATACTAGATGTGAAGTCCAATTAATTTATGACTCATTCTCTATCCCTCTCGGACAGCGTGTTCCCAAGAAAATGCCATCTGCAGCATTTATCCTGTCTATACAGAGAAGACTAGTCGTGCTGGGGCTTTGGTCTGCTACATCACACAAAACCCAAGAGATTTTCATAATAACGAAACGGCAAAAAGACACAGAAGGTCTACTGAAATCGTCTTCCTGTTCTTATGAACACATAAAAATAGGTTACTTATTTAGCAATTTAGGTAAACAGACCATTATGAAAAGTCACTGGGGAGTAAGCCTTTATGATTTCATTTCTTGATCGCTTCCTGTCTAACTAAACAAACATGAACTCAAGTGACACAGATTCCACTGCTTTTGTGTGCGGAATACTTGAACCATTTCTGTCATAATTCTATGAATAATTTAATCATCTTTTTCCTGTCAGGGACAACATATATTAAGAGAAAATTGGTGGGAAGCACAGCATCTCTTAAAGGTTGTCAATTCAGCAACGATCAATTTTGCAGAGAGGAAAGATTAGCGTACATCACTCTGAAAAGAGAACAGTAACATCTTACAATACGACTAAAATCTGTAGTTAAAATTCCTTGACAAGGTTTCAGTCCCAACCTCTAGAGTAGAACTCAATACAAGCAAGAGGGGTGAAGGACATCTGTGATACCGGCCAACAATCCTATGAGAGATTCTCAGCCTGAGGCCAAGCACAGCAGCTTAGAGAGGAAGCTACAGGAACAAAGATCTGGCTTCTAAGCTCCAAGATCTGGCTTCCAAGCATCAAGAGTGAACCAACAACACCTGGAGACAGAGCATTTGCTGAGCAATAACCTTCAGAAAAGTCAGCTGTTCACCAGTGCATGGTTTTAGACCTTCATCTGATGAGTGACAAGGAATTCTGCCTCTTACTCTGAAAGATGGAAATGGCATCTTTTGTTCACTTGACCCCAAGGCAGAGGATGTTGAAGACTGTATTTATTTAACCCCAAGACATGGGAACTTATAGCACATCATCACTTCCCAAAGAGATTTTCTTTTTATCCTCCTTCTCAGCCTTGGGTGGCTTCTGTTTGCTTTACAGACTTCTCAGAGTTTGCTACCAGCCTTGGACATCTGCTGCATGCAAATACTCATGCTGCTTGATGGCAAAATCCCTCCAGTTTTGATCAAAAAGCCTTACCATTAGATTTGCTGTTCATCATCTGAATTGAAACGTGCATTATTTTAGAGCATGAAAAGACTTATGAAGTCTGTCACATTGGCAGGATGAGAATTTCGACAAAGGAAGGCTGAGGAAGCAGCTGCGATCAGAAGATGCCCAACACAACAGAGCACGTGGACTTTGCAAAACTCTCCATCCCACTCAGCACTCTTTGTGTGCTGTGTTTCATCACAAAAAGCAACTCCTAAGAGAAGTCTATCCAGGAATACATAAATTATAGAGGGCAAGCACAAGTATCTCAAAGGCAGACTGACAACAAGACCCATTGTGAGTGACGTTAGACTAAGGACCTATCCAGAACACTTGTAGAAAATTCAAAACTCTGTCACAGCTGTCAATTCTCAAGAAAACAAGGAACTTCAGACTTAGCTGCTGACTGGACGTGCACTTGCTTCTTGCTATGCAACTGAAATCCCTGCTGTTCGGCATCCTTACTGTCTACATTCTCCTTGCAGCGGCTCTCTCTGGGATCAGTGGCAGCTCAGAACTCAGTAACCTTTTCCAGTGACTTATTCCACATACTGGCAGATGAACTGACCTGCATGAATCAGCTTCCCTGTAAACAGCCTCTGGTCCTGACTTACACATTTACATACTATGAGCAAAGGAAAGGGGAGAGATTAATGCACAAAGAAATTAGTTTGGTATACAGGATGCCTGGGGGTTCCAAGAGGATGTACAGCCCTTCACCTCCATATCAGCAAGAATGTCAAATCACGTCTATCTGAAGACTGTACACTAGTCCTTATGAAATAAACAGGAAATCTGAAGCTTAGTACCCAGCTGGTTGGTTTCCACATGGGCGAGGGCCTGGTAATAGCACTAACACCACCGCATCTGTAACTGGCACAAAGGCCAAGGACTCTACAACTGTGCTTCTTCCAAGACATGGAGCACTGGCACTATCCTAAGAAGAAATGCAGTAAAGAGAGCATCTTCTTTGGCTAAACTTCGCATGCTATCTCCTACAACAGACGGCTGTACATATGTTCTCACTTTTGTACACCGCACAGAGAGGACTACTGGTGGTGTGTGCTGCACTGCAGAGCTGCAGACATCCCACAGAGACTAAAGGTCCCTGCTTGGGGTAGGAAGAGTGGCTTAGCTGTGCTGTACTCTATAGATTATTTTGATCCAAAGATTGATGTTATAACCCGCTGCATTTTTTACAGCAGTTAAGTAAATACAGGGCTAATGGCAGATGTTTTCATTTAAACTGAAATGAAAGGCACCGCCTATATGTCAATTTGGAACCGGTGTAATGAGCCAACAAGACTCTGAGTTACAATAAAAGCAAATTTAGGAACGAAATCTACTAGAGACTTAACTGGTCTCAAGTGCATAGTTAGATTTCTAAAATAATAGCTGCAATCCAGCACAACAAACATGACTTGCTCAAAAACAAAAGCTTAAGTTTAACTGTAAATTGCCGTTGGCTTTCATTCCCATGAGAAAGTGCGAGATATTTCTTGGAATTACTTCTCATCACAGGCATACCAGTGGTGTCCCCAGAACCATGTACAGCAAGACTAGGACTATGCAACTCTGCTTTTTTTCCCTTCCAGGCTTACCAGCCCTGGGGTTCCTATGATCCACTAGACAGATCAATCCAGTGCTGGTTGCGTCCACAAATGCTGGGGCTTTGTAGTTGGGCAGGGGCAGGTTAAGTTGTGGACACAGTTGGCTGCAGGAGCCTAAGGGAGAGTAGTACTGAGTGACAGCAGCCAAGAGGGCAGTGGGACCAGGGTGAGAGGCAGCGTGCGTCTGGGGAGGCTGAAATGGAGGAGCTGATGGCGTGTACTGGCTGCAAACTGCAGGAGTGGCCCAGCAAGCTTGGAAAGGGGGCTGGAACAGGGTGGGGAGGAAGTAAAGAGGAGTGGGATTAACATGTACCAACACTGATTTTTGTTTTAATTTTTTTTTTTTTTTTTTAACACCTTAATACTTAAGAGTTCACACAACTTCAGGCACCTGCACAGAAGCCCTCGGTGGAGACTTTGCCAGCTGTCCTCATGCATGGGACAATCTGGGCTGAACAAGAGACAGACCACATAGGAGAGGCATAAAAGGTAATGGCCATTTTTACTCTTTTAACATGCAATTACTGAATAGCTTTTATCAACTTCTTGTCTCTAAGAGAAATGTCTTACTGTTCTTGCTTTGCACAGTATTCTCTTAAATACTCCAACTTAAACTTCTATCGTATTGCACCCACACATACACACACTCCTACTACAAAGGTTTCTGTTGATACTTGCCATTAGCTGAAAAGCACTAGTGCTGCCAGCTTTATATCTTGTTTTCCCTCCAAGAAGAATTCTGAAATGTTTTTCAGACTGTAAAGTAGACTCTGTTTGTACACTGGTGAAAAGAGCCAGACAAACCTTGCAGAACTATGTCACTAACCTTCATGCACAGTCACAGAAGACAGTGACCGACAACTCATGTTATTTCCCAAACTCTGTCCATATTTGCTCTCTCTTCCTGCTGCTGTCAATGGGAACTGCTCAAATCAGCCATGGGAAGAGTCTGTAACAGAGCTCAGAGGGCACTCCAGCATTCAAAACATAATCAGAAAAGGATGACAGTCCTGCTGGAAAGAGACTGTCCGAGTAGTTAAAAAAGTTCTTTTCTGAATGAACTGTACACTGTTTCATATCTGAAAAGAGCAATGGGTAAACTCTGGTACAAAGATAAAATGAAGATCCTGTAGAAGAAAGCAAATGAAGAAAAAAGTTTCAAAGCAGAGGCCATTCCACTTCCACTCTCCTCGCCTCCACTGCCAGGGTTGTGGCAGAGAAAAGGAACAGCAAATAAGTGCAAGTGGAAAAGGCTCCCCTTCTCCCTCAAAGAACTGGCTGAGTCATGAGAAAAGGCAGGAGGGACAAGTTCTTTCACTGAAAGTATTGCCAGATCCTCCCAGGGAGACCCAGCCTCTTCCAGCAGCCACTTCACTGCAGGTGGATGAAGAGCTAAGGTGGGCTTAAGGTGGGCTTTCTCCCCGCAAACACCTGAGAGAAAAGCTTTGTTGTCAGCAAACTGCCAGATGCTTGTTTAGGATGTACAAGCCCTCGTAGAGGAAGGATAGGATGGAGAAGCAATGTTCTCAAAGCAGAGAAATGGTTCTTCTCCAGGCACAACTTCTTAGCTAACAGCCTCCTATTAGTAATCTACTAATAAATAAATTAAAAATGAAGCCAAGTTATGCACCACCTCTTATTTATCTTGGAATTTCTTCCTAGCACCTGATTGAGTGCCACAGGGGAAGAAATGTTTGATGGCATTGTTTATTTAGCCACTATCCTTGTGTCTGCTCCATTTCAACATCCCTGACCAAATCCCTGGATATTTTTTATTTCCTGGATTATACCCATGTTCTGAAGAACAATCCCAAAGAACTCCAGTAACTACAATTTCACAATGTTTTACTAATGATGAAGGATAAGATTCATCGCAGGGCTCTGATGTGTATTTTCCAAATCATATTTACTCCAGTAACTGGAAAGATACTTAAGACTCAATAACATTCAAGAATAAATAGGCTGTAAGTTAGAAATAAGAGCTTGCTCTCCAAGTGATAAACTGCCTATTTGCTAATTCAGCTCAGCCAAGAAAGGATTTTTGTAAGGGACATGAAAAGGGAGTTTCTGACTGACAAATGCCAAAAATAATTCTGACACATCTCACAAAAATTCCCCTCAGATAATTGGTTGTATACCACCACACTCGACTTACCATCGTGCTTAGGAAAGCGCAATTATTAAAATGCTGGAAGCCTGAACGGATTGTTTGTTTGTTTATGGAAATTCACATCATCAGACAATGTTTTCAGCACGCCTGAATTCACAAAAACATTTGGGTTTGTGATTCGTTTGTTCTGTAAAACATGTAAGCTTTAAAAAGGCGTCACAGCGTACAGATATTCAGTAAGCAAAGTCTGTGCTGTCGCAGGGTTCACAATGCGTCTGATGACTGTGACAGTGACATTTTCCCAAACATGCCTTAACCTTGGGGCATCTGAATTAATGATATATTTATTCAGTTCTTGTCCTATCTCTCATGTGGGACTAAAATGGAGATCAAGAACACTTCCTTTCACTAACAAGCCCGCGCCCTTAGTGAAAAGCTGTTTTCTCTGCTGTCCTGCAGCCCTTGAATATGATTGTTATTAATACTGACGGTGCAGTGCTGAGAGGTCCCTCTCACACTGAGCGTTGTATAACACAGTGGTAAACAGCTGAGAAGCTGATGGAAGGCAGTCAGCATCCCAACACATCAGAAAGGCCAAGGAATTTGCCCTGCTAGGCAGCCCAAATGGGACGGCAAGGACAGTCTCCACACTCAATCTTTGCACGTGTTATGTAACGTGTACATTAACACTATAATGTGATGGAAAATATAGCAATAACAGTGGAGTGGAAAAGTCTCTGGCTGCAGCAAATGAGGACAAGCCCAAATGCAGCAGCAGAAATGAATGAAAATAGCTGCTTATCTTTGAAACGCTTCAGGTAGCATCTCCAGAGAAAAACCCCCACCTCCACTGCCAACCCTTAGATGAAGTCTGGGAAGGGGTGGATCCTGGCTCCAGCCCTTCCATTGCTCAGGTTCTTTGCATGCACCTGAGCACCCCTGGGTTGGCCATCCTTCCCATCAGGTGCTCAATCACTGCTTCAGGCCGTCACTCAGCACTTCTACTACACAGATGCCACATCAGAGAAGCTAGGTCACGTTCTGGCAACTCTGATCAGCTATGTATAAATCACCATGACCGGATGGCATTGCCATCGAGTCTTGAGGGAGCTTCAGAGAGAGACTGCAGACTGTTGGCCAAGGCAGTCAGAGGTGTCTGGGTGACACTTGTGGCAGCGTGGATGAAAGGCACAGATGAGATGCCAGCACCCCAGCTCCAGGGGGCACCCTGGCAACCACAGCTTAGAGGTGACCAATCTCACTTCACTTTCAAAGCTGTAACAACCAACGTGTGATCCAAGTTTGGTTTCCACACACAAGTCAGATGCATCTCTTTGAAATTATTCTCATAACAATCTCTCTTTCATGTTTTGCACTTACCATTGATGTTTACAGCTGGCAACACTATAGACATCTTTGGCCTTCTGGTCTTGTTATGTGTGGTGGCTGGCAGTAACAGGTGGTCCTGAAAAACAGGGGAAAAGATCTGTTAAATCCACCCTAGAAGCACAGAGCTGGGAAAATTCCTTTCCATTCTGTGCTACAGGCATTCGGTATAAAACTATTTACAACAGCTTAGCAATTTCAAGTTGTAGAGGGAGTCTTCCAAAAGTCACAGCAGCTGCTCATGCTGTGTAACCAAGAAGAAATCCCTATCTCATGCAGCACAATATGAAAAAGCCTTGATCATGTGGAAAGAGATGGAAACTGCTATTAGACCCGCATTCAACAGAGTACTTATGTATATGATTAAAGTAATTGAGCTTGACTTCAATGATATTTAAACATGTGGTTAAGGGCTTTGCTGAACTGGAGCCTTTACTGGCAGTGCTGTCTGCTTTCTATATAAATATCTTCTTGCTCTATCTGTGTCAACTCATGCCACGTGCCTCTTGCAGCAGGGCCGTATCAGTGAGGGCTGCAATGGGCAGCAAACTATGAGCTCTGCTGACAAAAACTTACTCAGGAAGTCTGACGGCAAAGCTGTGCTTAGCAATTTATTTCACAGTGAGGTGGCTGGGTGCTGCTGTAAAATAGAAGCGTTCAAACAACCCTTGGCTGTAATAGCAGAAGCTGCATCTACAGAAGCTCCAGATGCAGACCTGGGAAAAATGCAGCCTTTCTTCTTTTTTTTTTTAATTTTATTTTTCCTAACTATAGCTGAATTCAAACCTCAGGCTGATGTGTGGGAAAACCTGGTTCATTCCTTATCATTCAGATTGTGTTGTGCTGTGCTGACCCAGACCGCAGAAAGACTACAAAGAACATGAAAAACTTCCCAAGCTTTTCAAAGATTAGCTCCTCTGTCTGCAGGTTGCTTCACCATAACACCTCAATATGCAGTGGGTGCTTGGAGGGAAGCATATTTTCCCTCTTAGTAATTAAGAGCAAAGGATCATGTTTACAGAGTTCACAAATGCAGTGTAAATTCCTAACTCAAGCTCTAAGTGAAAAAAAAATCCTGCCGATCACTAAGCATCTTTTCCAGCCCCCCAAAAATTAATCCAAAGCTTTATTTTCCCAGTTCATGCGTTTACTGCTCTCTCAATGCCAGTCTTCCCACATTCAGCCTGAGTCACTGGGAAGAAGCAAACCAACAGGTACCATCATGTCCAACATAGGCCAACCAGCTCCTTAAAAAGTTTTTGCAACCTCCCTAAACCCAGACCCAACATCTGCCTTTTATTTTTCAAGATCCAGACATGTATCTCACATGGGCAAACAGCAGCAGGAAGTTTGATCCCTCGTTTCCACGCTTTTCCATTTGCAAAACTCCTATGATATCTTTATGAGACCGGCTTAGTTTTGTTTCTAATGGCACCTTTACTTACTGTATGCATCAAATGTATTCAGAACAATCACAAGAGCTTTATAATTGGAGTAACCTCTACAGAAATCAACAGCAATGTCAGGACATTCTATCTAATTCAGGACCATTCTGTCTAATTACCTTCTTGACTGACTTCTGAAAGGTCAGTGTGAAGTGGCAAATGGAAAGCAAAGGTAGAGAAATTGAGAGGATGCAGCATCCAGGCTGGTCAGAGGTCTGGTGCCCAGAGCACAAACCTACATGGAGAGGAGGAGGGAGTGGGGCTTTGATACCTCTCATCTGTGCACTGTAATTAGCAAATCCTCCAAACAACCACTGGGTCTGAAGAAAGTTGCATAGGGAATCATCTTCAGTGATGCTGCTCTGCTAGCCAAGACATTAAAATTAACTTCCCCTTAATTTCCAGATTCTGAAACGCCTCCTAAAACTGCACAGGAAAGAGTACATCCAAGCAGCAATTCACCTGCTGCTCCTTCGTTTTCCTGGTGCAGATGGAACAGCGTGGGAAGGACTGCTGCTCCCACAGCAGATAGTGAGACATTGAAGTCATTTCCACTCACGCCTGTGCATCCAAGCATGCGCTGGAGCTGTGGCACAACTCTTCTGGAGAAAACACACACAACAGGCAGTCAGCTGCAAGCTCCAAGTGCTGGCAGGAGCCGACCTTCGAGAGGAGCAGACTGTCTGGGACCTGGATGCAGCCCATCTTCACTACAAAGGACTGTTATGAGTTATTGTTTAACCTGGAGTTAAAGAAGTGCATCCATCTCCTTGTCATTTTCAACTTGCAGGAAAGTCCCTCTGATACTTGGTCCTAACTTGCATCAGTGATGCAAAGTGTCATAAATATTTCAACAAGTTTGGCTACCTGCAGCATTCTCAGCAGCCTAGAAAGCTTCGAACAGTCCTGAAGTTTTTTTCAAAGTAATACTTAATTATTTGTATGCAACACAAATGAATGCAATATTAGTGATTAGGAAGAATTTAAACATTTAGGAACACAATGTGAATGCATTATTAACGTGTGTAAAACATTTTGTCCTTTCCTATCTTGTTCAGAAGTATGCTGAATTGCTACCCTGAGGGGAATGTGACGGCATTATTCATCCCTAATTTAAAATACTAGACAAAAATATCTAAAATTAAAATACTGTTTGTGATATTAATACATGGCATAAAACTGAAAATGAATAAAAGCAAATCCTACAAGTCAGCATCTGGCTCACGAGCATGACCGTCAACCAGAGGCAAAATAAATCACAACTATTACCCAACAACAGATGGCTCTGGCTTGGGCCAAGATTTGCACTTAGATGGGATGACAATTTAAATAGACGACGCAGACCTGAAAGTGCTGGCATAATGACTGGAAAAAATATCGGCCTGGAAAGACAATATTTCAAATGAGTCCCAAGCTTCAGCACTCTCATTTTGCTTTTTTTTGATCATCACTACAGTTTGGTGTTATTGAAGTCAGCTGAGATGGACAGATAGATAAATATAGACATGGATACTAAAAATCCAGCCACAAATGTATTACCTTTTTTATTAAGTTGGGATATAGAAACACATTTGTTCTTGGGGATAAAGTCTGAAGTTATTTGTTAAACATCTGATAACGATCACATTTATCAATCCTAGCCACCACAAAACATTCAGAGCACTCGATAATTAGGATGAATCAACTGCAGTTAATCATAAAAGTTAAATTAAAGCTTTTAGAAATTAGGTACTGCTATAGAATGAACGTTCTCATTGAACGTTTGTTCTTCCCTAGCTCCTTCAGTCTCTGCTGATCTGCTCCTGGACACAGCAGCACATGGAACCACAACAGAGATTTTAAGGCTTCTTCCATAAGATCAATGTCAAGACTCTCACAGGGATTAAGGGTTGGAGACTCACGTATCTGTAACCCCCACAGTCAGATGGCAATGGAAACCCTATTCCACTGTGCTAGAATATTCCAAGGCTGGATGTTCCAACAGTTTCAGCCTGAGTCATATGACATGTGGCTTGTTTTTTAAAGCACCTACCACTAGATGCATGACAACCTGCAGGCAATCTTAGCCTTCAATAAAAAAGAGACCTTTTCTAACTCTCCTAGAACAGAATAAACATCCCTGCATATCATTTTCATTAGATGCAGAAAAAACACGCTGCTCCAAAGTTCTTTTTTTTTTTTTTTCCTAGCTGGCACTTGCCTTTCATATGGTAAGAACTGGCAGTTCTGACAATTTGGGTTTTGCAGCATGTGGTCCCTCAGCAACACTGCACCCAGGAACAACTCTTCCCTTGGGACCAGTGTGCCACATAGCTATGGGCACCAATGGAGCTCCTCCACCTCACAGCATGGCTGTGATGTAAGAAAACAGTATCAGTGCCATGGGAAATGTTTAGAGGAGAGGTACACACATTTGCAGAATATGAGTGACATGGAACACAAAGGATCACTCCAGGCTCAGCAGGAGCTGTCTTTTCTCCTACCCTGATGTTACATTTCTCTCAAATTGACTTCTCGAGATTTTTCTTACCTTCTTAGCTGATCTGTTTAGGAATGGATAAGTATTATTCAATAGCCCTGCGTACCTAAGAAGAATGAACATGACTTGATCCAAGCGTGCTTTGTTACAGTCTAGAAGCTGCAGGCCCTATCGCTGCATCTCCTCTCACAAAGACTGATCCAAGATGTTGGGATGAGCCCAGCCCTACATCAGAGGCTCATCTCTGACAAACTAAGGACAATGTTTTCAAAAACAAGGGACATTTGTTACTTTACGGGAACAAAAGCTCCACAGAGACTGGATTAAAATACCAAAGGAAAATCTTAGAGTGCAGCTCTTGCCATCTGCCCCGATGAGATTTGATCTTTACCATTGCCTTGGAATCAAGCAATGTGCTAGAACACTGCAGCTAACAAAGACACAGGCAAAGCAAAGAGGGCAAGCAGAGCCAGGCACCTCAGCATGCCAGATCTGTCGAGGTAGCTTTAGAAATTTTCTTGTAATAAACAAATACTGTAACTGGGCATTTTGTTCATCCGTTTATGACTAACAGGTCTCCTGGGGAATCATGCCTTGACCTCTTCCAGCTCAAATCTTCACAACTGTGATTCTTGGAGCCTGTTACAACTTCTGCCCATGACGGCTTAGGAACTTCCCACATCCAGCTTTCATGCTGGCACTTCCCCAAAGCTGCTGGAGGCACTGTTTTTATTTAATTGTGCTACCCCTGGTAGTGTCCAGCAAGTCCTGACAGCTAAAAGCTTACCTATCAACTACCCAACCATGCCTAACAACCTCAGGATGAAGGGGATACAAAGCAAATATACAAAAGTTGTGCACAAAATCTACGCACCATCTTGTAAACTTAGCTTTTCTGAACATCTGCAGGAATTTTAGATCAATGAGACTGGAACTTCTTTAGAGCTATGCTTTTGGCATGTGAAACTAAAGTGTACTTCCAGAGTCCCAAAAAGTTGCATCAACTCCAGAGGCTGCCCTGGGAAAATCATTGAGAAGATAAGCTTTTTAAAACCCAGAGCTGACAGGAGGGCTACTGGGAGGCCCAATGAGCCAGCTTTTTTCTTCTACCACAGAGTTCACACCTTCTGATAATTTCAGAGTAACTGTTTTGGGCTGCCTGACTGCTGCCAGCGACATGACATTTCCATTCCCATCTCCTAAGCAGGCCAAGGAACCTGAGCTGCATTATGGCCTTTGGATGGAACCTGGTTCTCAATACAGTGGCACCTGAACCTCAGTTGCTCTTCGGCACACTGCTCTGGACACAAAAGGAAGCTATTCCCCAGGGAAGAGATCTTACTGCAGCATACCCACGGCCTAAAGGCTTACCCTCATTTTCCACAGCAGCTCCTAACACTGCCAAGCACACAACAAGGACCACGGTGTAAATGAGAATCACATCTTGCCATATCTGTTTCTGGTTTCCTCTGTCAGTACGAAGAGTAACTGCAAAGGATGTGTATGGCAGTTTACAAATTTGTACAGGAAACGGCTGTATAATGTCACCATTGTTGGGTTGGGTGATGGCAACCAGATGGTGTCCTGAGGATGGATTCACCAATTCACCAATGGTTTGAAAATGCCACTGGTTCTGCAATATTGCTTGTGCTACCAGAGGACATGAAAACAGGCCAGTCGTTGTAGAACGGAGGGTGTTTCCAAAGCTACTTCTGTCCTACCAGTGCAGTGTGACCCTTGCATCAGAAAAGTAAGGGGATGGGTTTAAGAGAAGGGAATGAAAGAGGAAAACTGCTAAAGGCTCTATATAAACTGTGATTCTCAGACAGCATTTACCCATTATATCACAAACTGCAAAAGCTGCACTGTTTTCAGAGTAAGAGCATTGCTTGCTATTATTATTATTTCAACACTAGGCTTTATAAGACCAAGTGCATTTGCCAGCCCCATCAAGGATCCTCGCAGCAAATACATGACAAGCAAAGATATGAATGGAAGTGAGCAGAAGATGGGCCAACTACTGTAAGGAAGCTGCAGGAAATCTGCACTAAGAATTCACAAGGTCTGAGCCTCTTTGCACAATCTCTTAACAATTCACCTTGAAAGGCCACTTTCAGAGCAGTAGCTCTGAAGTTTTCAGTTTAATTATAACAATTTATCTTAATTTGATCAAGTGTCAGTTCAGTACATACCGAATGATATTGGCTCCACATATTATCTGTTTGATTTTGCTGCATGTTAAAGAAGAGTTCGTAACTGAAAATTCAGCCCCCACCTCCCAGTCACAAAATTCTATTACTATTTCTAAGTTTTAATGCTATTTTGAGACTGGGGAGAAGGGAAACTGTCCCATAACAGGAAAGCTCTCAGGAGTGAGAAAGAACTGCTTTTTCTGCTTTTATTTTGGCCAGAAGTGTTCCTATTCACACCAATGCTGTTCCAAACCTAGTGTTTCTATGCACAGGTGGTTTTTACAGCCTATACATTGCACACAGCAATGAAGTGATGAGATATGCTTTTTATTTAAGCGTTTTAACAGAAATAACTCAATCCCACAGTCCATAAAAAGTCCTGTAGTGTAAGATTACACTTTTTCTGACGTTCCCAGTCTAACTTTTATAAGTAACACCTAACTGTGCTCCTTCTGGACATTATCGCTGTAGAAGATAGAATGGCCATCCAGCTCAGTTCCCACATGAGAAACTCTTTAATGGAGAGGTCCTCACTGCCTTTTATTATCAACTGTGCTACTGCCAGATGTGATATGGCCTGGGCTGCAAAACTAAACCAACTGGGAAGCATCTCAGTGTGAACCAGAGCCTTGTGAAAATCCCAGAGACCTCAGAGGAATGGAAAATTCACCCTACCACAAGGCTCTTTTTTGAGGAGTTTCTTCCACTCTCTTCCAACAGCAGCACTGCTGCAGGTCGATGAAGGGCAGTGCTAAGCATGTGCACAGTCTAAAGGAGAACCAGGGGCCAAGGACGTCTTCTGGATTAAGAACTAAAAAAATTATTGAGACTAACAAGGATATGGAAACCTACTATGAGTTTTCTCTACAAAGACAGCAAACATCACTAGTGCAGGAACTACTACTTCATTTTGTCCCTTCACCTGTTGCATTAAATTTATGCTATGTTACTTTAAAGACCGTAAGGAACCTAAAAAGCAGATGTCAAATTAACGTGACCTAATTTATTGTCATGATTTATGATCTTGTTATTCACCTTCCAAGGCCAAATAGGAGGAGCTATAGAGACTTAAGATGATAGTGAAATATGCTGATAATTCTCAGTATTTATTAGTCAAATAGCAGAATCTATCACAGCCTCTGAGCAAGAGCTCCTGTCTCTCTTCAGGAATCAGAATACAAGCACAGTTCCAGAAGCCAGGCCAGCTGACCTTATGTCTTACTGAAACGTCTATCTTAATCCTGTTAACAAAGTGACACCAGCTGCCAAATGACCTCAGTCCTCCCATTCCTCTGCAAAGCTCTCATACAGTAATTACTCCAGGCATACCTGCCTCATTCCTAGCTGAGCTTTTTGAATCTCACTTCTGACTTGCAACACATCCTAAATAAAAGGCACTAGATACAAACAGCACTCTTTCATGAATAGGAAATACTATGGGAAATCACAGTTAGAAGAAGCTTGTGTGTACACCTTGTGTGTATGTAAAGTAGTCAGGTACACAAATAGGCACAGTAATGCCAGTCATATGATAATGAAGGAAAAGGAGGTGCTGGCACCTCATTTGGACTCTATTTCTACTGTAAATGTACTCCTAAGGTTTGTCTCCCCTTCCCCCCCCCCTTAGAAGAGCCATAGGAGAGAAAAACCAAGCCCCCTGTAAACAAGGAGGACACAGGACAGACTGGACAGAAATGCAGCCAATTACACTTCTCTGCAGAACTCCTTTGCAAGACCCAAAAGTAAAGAACAATGCATGCATTTGCTATGATGTAATTTTGGTTTGGCAGCTGATTAAAAAAAAATTCCTAAACGCCAAGTAAGAGGATGTGAAGAACAGAATTCTACGTTCAAGTAAACTGTTTGGGTTAAAATCATATAGGAAGAATTTCTAAGGAATTAAATTGCTTTGATAATTTGTGTGTTATTTGTGAAAACTGAAGTTCAAGATAAACTGGAAAGGATATGTGTATATGAAGACAAAGAAAATATCCCAGATTATACTGGTTGAACAGTTCTTCCTGTTATGTTTGATAAGCATCAGATTTTCTTCTTAAGGCTCTCTCACAAACTAGCACCTTAATAACATTTTTTTCCCCCCTCTAAGTTACTAAAAATGACATTTCTCCACTATTTTGTGTCCTTCTCATTGGCTGTATAAGCAGAAAAACGTAGTTCATCCATAACTTCCAGGTGAATCTGTCAATTATTCTTCTAGATTTTACAAGATGTAAGACCCAAAAAGAATTAACTGCTTTATTACTACTACCAATAAAACATATTCCCCTCCTTTTCTAATTCACTGCACCAGAGCTCTGCTTTTGCATAACATCTGCAGGCTATTAGTTTTGCAACTGCAATCTGTAATTGCAAAAACATGTAATT